ATCAAAAGAAGACAAGTTGCAGGAAGTAAGTCAACTCACATTCAAGTCTCATGCTAACCAAGTTTAGAGAAACCGTTTTGTTTTCACCTTTCGTAGCTGTTAAATTCTTTTGACAGTTGCAGGACTATTAAGAAAAAAAAAAGATTGACATGAGGTAAGTTGACATTTTTTTCCCCGGTTAGACGGCACAAAATTGGTGCATCAGAACTGGAGCAGAAGCCCCAAATCTGTGCCTTTTACACAAAAACCCCTGAAACAGGATATTGCCCAAATTGTGTACGGTTTTACACGGTAACGAAGGATTCCGGAATCAGACGACATCAGCATCGCATGTGACAACTAAAATAGTTGTCGCACCGTGACAATTGCTTTCAACACAACAGGGTGGGAAAACAACCCCGCTCGCCACGTTACACAATACTGTTAGAAAGTACCCTTAAAAAGTCTACACACCCCTGTTCAAATGTCAGCTTTTTATGATGTAAAAAAATAGGGCACTGAGGTAAATTCTATCAAAACTCGTCCCACTATTTAAACTTCAAGAGGAGAAGTAAATGACGTGATTGCCCGGGGTGTGCACACCCACTTCGAACTGTGTTCAAAATAAACCAGTCACATTCAAACTCATGGTAAATCGGAGCCAGCATACATTTAAAGTGACTGCCATGAACACCAGTCAAGTTCAAAAGTTCTACTAAGCTTTCCTGACATGATTTGTAATCATGTTTGATAATGTCGCGCCGCTCCAGAAAGTGACCGAAAAACTGGAGCAGTTAAGGTATTTTAATGCCCTTGCATGTGGGCAAGGAGAGCCATCTATTTTGCATGGATCATAGAGATGACAAGAACGAAAATTAATTCATCTTTATCTGCGACTGATTCCATTCACATGAAATGACCCTCATTTCATGTGGTCTTTTGGAGTTCAGGGGTCACTCCTTATGAACTTCTATGACTCTGCGGTGGCCTCATGTCATTCATGATGGCATAGTCTGCTGGTCAGGCAGCATCTCAGCGCGGGACAGAGAGAGACAGGACCGACTGGTCAGCTCTGTCCTGGGATCCTCCCTGGACAGTGGACACTCTGGAGGAGGTGGGCAACAGGAGGATGCTAGCCAAGCTAAAAGCTGTAACGGACAGATCCTCCCGCCTCTCCGGGCCACCCTGACAGCGCTCGCTCTCGCTCTCTCTCTGCCAATTCGCAGGTGGAGAAGCTCACATGGGGGTGGGATTAAGCAAATTAGCCACACTGTTACATCCATCCATCCATCCATCTTCTGATCCGTTTTATCCTCACAAGGGTCGCAGGGCGTGCTGGAGCCTACCCCAGCTGTCTTGGGACAGTAGGCCGGGGACACCCTGGACCGGCTGCCAGCCGAACGCAAGGCACACGGAGACGAACATCCACGCTTCACACTCGCACCGCGGGACAATTTTGAGTGTTCAATCAGCCTGCCATGCATGTTTTTAGAATGTGGGAGGAAACCGGAGCACCTGGAGAAAACCCACGCAGGCACGGCGAGAACAGGCAAACTCCACCCAGGAAGGCCGGATCCGGGATCGAACCCACAATCTCTGTGAGGTCGACGCGCTAACCACTCGCCACCGGGACCCCCCACTGTTACATCACAATCCCAAAACATTTCGTGTGGCTCGCTTACAGACACCCTTTCAGAAATAATCAGATGAAAGATTTACTCGGTTGCTTTATTTCACACCTGATTGGTGGGCAGGCAACCCACAAAGGCAAATACTTCTATTTATAGCAACTACAGTAAATTTTACACAAAATGTTGCCTTTGAAACATTGCCCACACACTTAATGTTGGGGCCCAGTGTGACACCGGACAAGATGACAACGGTGCCTTGAGTTACGAGTTTAATTACCTTCGTGATCACAGTCGTGACTTAAAACACTTTTATCTCAAATCAGTGTTCCTCATTGAAATGAATGAAAATGCCCTTCATCCATTCGAGCGACCTCAAAAGACACCAACAAAATTTTTCTTAACGTGTTTTAATACAAAAAAGTTATCAGTCAATGAAACAATATCACACCTTATAAAACCCTACAGTCATGACATACAGTACTTACACTGTAAAGAATGAAAGTATTTGTTCATCATAATTCAATAGGCATTGTCCTTCTAGTGTGTGCACTGTAGCCACCAGGGTGTAAGTATAACACATATTGAATAAATACACAAAGAAGACTGTCACAAACTAAGCTCAGTGAAGTGCAGTAATTGGTTGTTTTTCCCAGAAGAGAAAGAATATATGCCTCTGGGTATTATTTTATTGTCTGTCTACATGCTGCACCATTTGTGTTGAACCATCCATCACTTTAAGGGAGATAGCAACTGCAACAAAATTAGTGTCATTGGCCCATCTATGGCATTTTGCACTAAGCCAGCAGACTTATAAGGCACATTTATGTGGTTTAGTTAAAAACACACAAAGTATATTTCTCTTTGTTGTCCATTGAGTTTTCCAGTAAACCTGTACTTTTTCTTTTGCTTCTTGAAGGGAAAATAGAATGGTGTTCTAAATTAAGAGTTCACTGTTTCATGTTGCCACACTTAATTAAAAGGACCTCACTTGACCATACTGCCACTCCTGTAATGTAGCCAATCAAAGGAGCTGCCAATTATGCTCCATTTGTCCCCCCCCCCAACTCTCTAAATAATTGACCACCATCTAAACACTATCATCAGCGGCTCTTTTGAATCATCTCTCTCTCTCTCTCACACACACACACACACACACACACACACACACACACACACACACACACACAAATAGGCAACTTCATAGTTAGGGGGGGGGTCTCAGCGGGCCTCTCCGATCCATAAATCCTAAATTAACCTCAACCCAAGACATGTTAAATGACACTTATGTCTGGAACTCCGAATTTTTATAGATAAAACACTAAGTAAGAACCGATACACTGTCAATGATGGGGGAGAAGGGCAGCCCATGGCTCAGCCGCATGCTGCCAGTGGAAGGCGGGCTTCATTCCCACGACCTCCGCGGACACCCCCCGCCCCAGCGGATACTCAATACAGTTTAAAGAGGGCCCGTTCGCGGCTATAAATCGGGGGAAAATCCCTAAAGAACCCCCGCCTCCCCTGGGTCTCCCTTCACGCGGTTGTCACCCACCAACTAGCCGAGGCCAGGCGACCATAGCTCGGCTTTTTCTTGTACAAACATAGCCCCATTATATTTTTTAACCGCATAATATATAAATATACATACCAGCGCCAGACGGCCCCGGCTCCATCCCATTCACTTAGCCGCGCGGGTACAAGCTAGCTAATCCAGGATGGTGTGGCCGAACCGCCGGCCCCTTCAGGCTAGAAGGCACACTTCCAGCCTCCTCCTCTCGGTTTGTTGTCTGTCTTCCTCCCTCCTTGGTGTGTATTATCCCCGGCCCCCAAAAAAGACCCACAAGACGAGTTAGAATGTTTAAAAAAAGAAAGTGTGGGGCGATCGCTGGCCACCGGTCCGCACTACCCGCTGATCTCCTCTGCCGATTGTCGTTTCGGTGTTCCTCCCCGCCAACCCGCTCCGGGATTGAGCCGACGGTCCGCGGCGTTGGGGTGCCTCGGGCGGTGTGTGGTGGCTCCCTCCCCAGCCAAACAAAAAAAAAAAAGACACCGTCGGCCCCCGCCCCCCCGCACCCCTTAAACTCCCCCTCGACCACCCAAAAAAAAAAAAAAAAATCAAACTTCTTCTCTGCCATCAAAACTGGTGGCGAATTTACTGACGTGTCCTGGTGGCGGAACAGGGAATTGCAATGTAAGAGTTCACCCAACGTAACCCGTTTTTAAATTGTACGTTAAGTATGTGCACGTAAACTACGTGAATCTGAAATCGTTGTTGTCCTTCACCCTACGCAAACGTTAACGAAGCTTCTCTGTCCTGTACCATTGCACCTGCGCTTCACAGTGTAGAGGTCGTAGGTTACATTTCGGCCCCCCGGCCTTCAAGTCTGGAGTTTGCATGGTAGGTTAATTGGACTCGATATTGTCCCCCACTGTGACTGGTTGTTTGTCTCTGTGTGCCCTGCGATTGGCTGGCAACCAGTTCAAGGTGTAACCTGGCTACTGCTTGAAGACTGCTGGGATAGGCTCCAGCAAGCCGCGACTGGATAGATAATTAAATAATTCATTGCTAAGAGCAACAGTGGATGTGAACAAATATTTCAAACACGAAGCAAGAAAGAAAGAGTAAAATCCGTACAGATGTAACAAGGGACCACTAGCAGGTGCAATGTGGGTGAGGGACTTTCCTTGGTTACCAACTTTTCCTTTAGAATTGTGAAGCAGCGACAAAAACTGTGATTGTTTCAACCGCTGGAATGTTTTGTTTTGTTTTTTTTTATCTATGTGGTTTGATACTTACACGGACCGCCCTCTGCTGGGACAAGACATTTAAGATTAATAATGTTTTTTTTTTTGTTTTGGGTTTTTTTTTACATTTTGCTTGATTTATGCAGCGAGAGCGACGTCTGTATAACACCGGGACATAAGGATGATACAGGTAAGAACATTTGTGGTAATGAATGAAGGTTTACAATGTTTTATAATGGGGTGTCTTTTTACCCCAACGTTCAAGCCCCTAAATTACATTAAACATGGCACAAAGTGCCCCTGCCGTTTTGTCACATGAGGCTTGCAAAGCCTTTTAAACAATGCCTGCAAACTTTACGGCGTAAAGATATACACTAATGTACTGTCATTCAAAACCGCTAGTTTGGTCGCCTCCTGCCTCGTCTCTCACCTCGATTGTCACGCATGCGCTGAGAAGATCTTCAGTGGCTTGTAATAGTCAAAAGGAATCGGAAAAGTTCTTGACGGTTTCTTATTTTCATGTTACTTTACATGTCAGTTTCTATTACAATATATTAAAAAATGTCATTTTCCTTCATGTTCCCATTTTTCCTGCCATTAATAACTTAATTCCCCCAAATTTTGATATACGCCCCTTCCGCGTGACAGGAACTGCTCTGACGTCACGTACCTCAATGCGGAAGCGGTCGTCATCGTAAAATACGGTGAGTTGGAAGCTATGTGAAATTTGTTGAAATTCTCGTCGTTTTGTGGCAACAGGCGCTCTTTCTTCTCCAGTTGAAATGAATATTAATGTTTACACCGACAGGGGTACATTTGACAATGTTCTGTCAGTGCGTTTTTTTTTTTAAACTAGCAATCATTTAGCCTCGATTGAGTGCATTTGTCTTGTGAAACATTGCAGTGGGATGATATTTCACGGGAAAAAACTGCCACTGAAATCCCATCACCTCTCGAAAGACTTTTGCTTTTTTTCTATTTGTTTATGGGCATATTTTTTCTCTAATTTCCTCGCAGCCTGAACATGTCGTGGATAAAGGAGGGCGAGTTAAACCTACTGGAGAAGATTTCAGCCAGTATCCTCAAGGTATGAAAAAAAAAATCTGTACTTGGATTGAGATATTGATTTAGAATGGATTAAAAGATAATTGGGTCCAGCCTGATTAAAAAGTGTCTCATACACGGGCAAAGAAGTGGTAATGATTGGTGAAACTTTTTTCCCCCTCTTAGGTTATTTCAGATGTAGATGAATGTTGTTTGAGAAAGCTAAAAAACATATGGTCGCAATTTCATAACAGTATCAAAAAGGGGGAAGTCACAATTTTAGTTGGAAAAAAATAATTCAATTAGAATTTTCTTTGAGACGAAGTATTGTTTCTATGTTTTGTTTAGTTTTTTTCCAAGAAAAATCACAATTTTGACAAGAAAAACAAGTCTTTCGTAAACTTATTAAAACAATTACATTTTATCAAGAAAATTCATCTTTACTAGGCAGGGGAAAACAAGGATTTTTTTTTTTTTTTTTTTTTTACAAAAAAGTCAAATTTGTACAAGAAAGTCATTAAATGTGGGAGATTAATCATTTTCAAATAAAAAAATTTAAGAGAAAAAGGAAAAAGTCACAAATTTAGAAGGGAAATATTTAATCAGAAATCTTATGTTTGGTTTGTGTTTATTTTAATGAGGAAAAAGTCAGAACTTTGACAAGAATGACAAGATGAGGAGAGAGGAGCGTCAGCGCAAAGCGCGGATGCGTATTTGGAGCTGAGGGTCGCCGCTTGGAATTGAAATGGATTTACATGGGACAGGAGAAGTGAACCAAATCTCTTTTTTTCGTCAATGGATGCTACAGCTTCATGTTGACTTTGAAACTTAGCTTGTCGCCGACGTGTGCACATTTTGAGCAAAGGGTTTAGGCTTGCACGACTGTCCGTGTTTTATGTTATGTATTGTGTTTATTATTTTACTTTATGTTAATTGTTTTGTCAAGCGCTTTGTTACAGCTGCAGCTGTTATGAAAGCGCTATATAAATCAGGATGTATTGTATAAGAAAAACAAGTCTAGCAAAGTCATTAAAAGCAACTTAACATTTTAGGGGGGCGAGAAAAAAAATGCCCATTTTCAATTGGAGGTGAGACTTCAAAATGGTCAGAGGAAATAAAGTATAGTCACTGCTTTCACATGTGATCCACGCTCTCTCCGCCTGCCCCTCTCCCAGGCAGGGCCCATGCCCAAACACGTGGCCTTCATCATGGACGGCAACCGTCGCTTTGCGCGCAGGAAGAACATGGAGCGCCAGGAGGGACACATGCAGGGCTTCGACAAATTGGCAGAGGTGAGCCCGGCTGACATTTCAAAGTGTGGAATTGTTCCACTGCAAGCAGCCCTCGCTTGTCTTCCAGACACTTCGCTGGTGCAAGCATCTGAACATACAGGAGGTGACTGTGTATGCCTTCAGCATCGAAAACTTCAAGCGCACTAAGGACGAAGTGGAAGGCCTGATGGAACTGGCCAAACAGAAATTTGAAAGACTCTTGGAGGAACGGTGGGTTACCTGTCAATCAGCGGGACCTTTATGACGTTTACGGTACACGTATCGGAGAGTGCGCAGAGTGGGGTAGACCCTGTCAGCAAATATCGGGGCTATTTGTTCGTGCATGTGCTATATTGCAAATGTTTAGGTGATTGGGGTCATATAGCCTTTTACAGTCGATTAGCAAGTCCGAATTTTGAGCTCTGTGTAGTACCACGTTGTGCCACAACATGCCGGACAGCATTGAGTTGTACTGGACGAAATGCAGCGTAATCAATAGCAAGAGGAGGCAGATAGTGAACAAACTGTTCGTACGTGTTTCTTGAAGTGGCTGCTGTTTGGAGGTTTAGAATTACGGGATCATCTTTGCTCATTTCTATTAGCCGGTTTATGGCGTTTTGCATTACATGTTAGCATTAAGCTAGCAGACTTTCGTTATGACTAACCCAATTCCAATGCAGTTGGGACGTTGTGTTAAACATGAATCAAAACAGAAGACAATGATTTGCAAATCATATTCAACCAATATTTTATTGAATACACCACAAAGACGTGATACTTTATGATCGAAATGTTCAAACTTGATTGTTTTTAGCAAATAATCATTAACTTTGAAAAAAAAAAACTGGGACAGGTGGCAAAAAAAAAAAAAAGATTGAGAAAGTTGAGGAATGCTCATCAAACACCTGTTTGGAACATCCCACAGGTGAGAAGGGAAACGGTGTTTCATGAACAAGACATGATGTGTTGTTTTCATGCTCTTTTCAAACGCAGGGAAAATCTGGAGAAGCACGGCGTTTGCATCCGGGTGCTGGGCGACCTGAATCTGCTGCCGCTGGACCTCCAGCGACTCATTGCCAAAGCGGTGCTTGCCACCCGAGCTCACAATAAGTACGCTGTCTTCTCTCGTCCTAAGTGGAGTTTTGCTTCTTTGTTGTTGTTGGTGTTGCCCCCCCCCCCCAAAAAAAAACAAAACAATTCCAGTGACGTTGTGTTAAACAGAAATAACAACAGAAGACAACCTTTTCCAACTTATTTTCAACCTATATTTAACTGAATACACTACAAACGCAAGATATTTAATGTTCAAAGTGATCAACTTGATGGTTTATAGCAAATAATTCATTAGCTTTGGATTTTATGGCTGCAATAGGTTCCCCCAAAAAATAATCAAACCTGGGACAAACAAGACTGAGAAAAAGTTGAGGATTTTTACATGAAAAAGCACTTGCAGAAAGTATTAATCTTACAAGATGGAACATCACAATTTCTACAACATGGAAGGTTTATACTAGAAAGTCATTTTTAAGAGGACAAAGTCACATTTTAATCAAAAGCAAATTTAACAAGGAGATTAGAACGTTTGTGCATTTTTATCTTGTATCTGGGAAAATGTCACAGTTTTGACAGGGGAAAAAAACTATTTTTTCAAAGTAAAAGTCAGTAGGAAAATGACAGTTGTATGAGAGGAAAAAAGTGACGTTTACACAAAGTTTTGTACACGGCATTAAAATGTTACATTTCGTCAATTAAAATGTTTTCCTTGCAGTTGCACGCTGTACCAGTATGAAAATAAAATCATCAAATATCCAAACATTTTTTAGGAACGGTACTACTTTTTTTGAATGGTTTGCTTTTTTCTCTAACAGGTGTTTTTTGAACGTGTGCTTTGCCTACACGTCACGATATGAAATGACCAACGCGGTGAGAGAAATGGCCTGGGGGGTGGAGCAAGGACTGATTCAAGCCAGGTAACGCACGCACTAACACAGGGCAGGGGAAACAAGTTTTTCGGGGGTTTTTTTTTTTTTTTTTGCAATTTAACAGAAAAATTGTCACATAAAGAGAAGAACGCCCAAACTAAGAACATTTGCAACAGCAACTTTACAAGAATACACTTGCTATTTAAATAACTCCCATGGAATCTTGTATTTAAAGCTTCAAATGCATCTCCAGTTGTTGACAAAAATGTCATATGTCCTTTCTCACTTGCCGTACCGTGTGCAAACCCCTAATGTAGGAATCTAAACGTCTCAAATGTGCTCAAACCGCGATCGATGATCACCAAAATTAACGTCGACATGTTTTTGCTCACAGCAACCTCTGAAAATATGGAAACGATCACCCGAGTATTAGGGATTTGATGGTGCTTTCCTCTTCATAGACGTGTCGTCCATAAAATACAAAATACGTAAACATGTCTTTGCAACGTTATGCAATGCCAAACTTGGAAAAACATGCAGGACATGCAATTGCCTGTTAAGAAAATAGTCTTTGGCTACACTCTGGGGTTGCCATTTGGCCTGCCGTGACCACACACTTAAACCAGTTCGGGACGATTAAAAGGATGGAAGGAAAACCCACTTCCGCCCTTGCTTAGTTCGTCCTTTTTAGAAAATTTCTCATCCTCCGTCCCAACAATGGACCGTCCGAGACGGAGTGACCATTCCTTCATCTCTGGAAATTGAACCCAAAAAGTTGTAATTGGTGGGAATAAGTTCAAATATGGCAATAGTAGTCTTCCTTTAAGCATGTCATTTTGGCAGCTCATTTTGCATGTCTAGTATGACGAGAGAAAAGGTTTCATTTTTGTGTCCGAATGACTCCGAATGCACTCTTGTGTGTGTGTGTGTGTGTGTGTGTGTGTGTGTGTGTGTGTGTGTGTGTGTGTGTGTGTGTGTGTGTGTGTTTTAGTGACGTGTCGGAGGCGCTGCTGAGCCAATGTCTGTACAGCAACAATTCTCCCAATCCTGACCTTCTCATCAGAACCTCCGGCGAAGTGCGCCTCAGTGACTTCTTACTCTGGCAGGTGACGATGACAAAGACTTTTCGTTCAATTTTATTGTGGACTATTGAGTCTTTTTTTTTTTTTTCCACCCCCCTCCCTTGCGACTCAGACATCCCACACGTGTTTAGTGTTCCAGTCCGTGCTGTGGCCCGAGTATTCCTTCTGGAACTTGTGTGAAGCCATTCTCCAGTATCAAGTCAACCACAAATCCATTCAGGTGAGGCTTTGCTTAAAATGACCAAAACGCCAGATTAATCGATTAGGAATTAAATGGTTCATTGTTGTCATTCTCTTTTCGATCCATTTTTTGTTTTGAAATTGTCCAAATCATTGGAATTTCAGCCTCTAAACCACAGGTGTCGAACTCCGGTCCTGGAGGGCCGCTGTCCTGCATGTTTTCAAAGTCTCCCTGTTGCAACACACCTGATTCAAATGATCAGATCATCAGCAAGCTCTGCGGGAGCCTGACATTGAAATTGTTCATTTGAATCAGGTGTGTTGCAACAGGGAGACTTGGAAAACATGCAGGACAGCGGCCCTCCAGGACCTGAGTTTGACACCCCTGCTCTAAACAGTCAATATTCTCTCATTTCTGTTGTTCTTCGTGCCAATAGGCTGATCATCTTTGGGGTTTTTGCGTATTTTCTGACTTGTGATAGACCAAACCAGTTCGTGAATCATAATTGACTTATGTTTGTGCATATTCTATACTGTCAATTTGAAATCATATCCTCTTTAGGGAATAGAGTGGACCCTCACATACCCGTGGTTCGCAAATTTAAAAAAATATATTTTTTTTTCAATTCGTTTTTCTCTTGGGGCGGGAGGTGTCACGGGTGCGTCCACCAGTTCCTGACGTTTTTCACATTTTCGTTATGGCGGTGGTCGACTCTACACAACCCTCAAGTTGTTTAAATTGATATATTGCTCCATCTTCTGATCCAAACAGTGATTGGGTACCGGTTTTTGTTTTGTTGTTGTCCCGGCCCAACGTGAACTAGCCAGAAACACCAGATTAGTCACTCGAAGCCTGATTTGATCTATTATCCAAAATGGCTAAACATTCCTCAATACCGTACCGGAAACTCTCCCCTTCCAGAACGCACGGGACGTCCACCGAGAGCACCAGAAGCTACTGCAGCTAGAGGCTGACCGCACCTGCGCCTTGTCCGCTGAGCACCTACAGCGCCACGGCAACGGCAAGCCCGCAGACGCTGGTCGCAGGCAGGAAGCGCTGTCGCACTACGTCGCTCGACGGCAAGAGCGAGTTCGCCACTTCCTGGAGGCGCTGACGACCAAGCGGGACTCTTTCTTTACTGACTTGTGCGACGGCGGGTTGGCCTAAGAGCGCCTCGTTGTAGACCCCGCCTCTCTTCTTCTGCTCAGTGACCAGAAGAGGGCGACATCAACCCCTATGGGGCAAGAGAGTTACTGGCATATTTATAAATGTAGATTTAAATGTGAAAAAAAAAATCGTGATAACAGGCAATAAGTGTCTCGTCAAAATGAAGTTAAAGGTGTTCGTCATCTTTTAAAGTGCATGCTGTGGTTTGTGGAGTGAACGCTGTGCCGTTATCATCCGGTTCATCAATGAAGGTGTCAGTCGAGTGAAGTTGATGACGTAACTAGGTTTTGACCACTTTTATCAAAAAAGAATAAAGAGATTATCAAAAAAGAATAAAGAGATTATTGATTGTCAATGAATGAGTTGTGATTCACTCTTTTTGAAAGTGTTCTTGCCTATAGTTACATACAGAAAAATACACTTTGCAAGATGTAAAAATGTCAGGTTGAGAGATTTCAGATATACAGTATATCTATATACATAAATAGAGAGAGACAGAGAGAGAGTCTTTTTCACTGCATCTCTGGGAGCAGAGGACTTGAATTTTATAAAAACGGGTAGGAGAAAAGGAGCTGAACCATGCATGATCCTTTAAAATCAAATGTCTTTGTCCGTAGTGACATGATAGCAACTCCGCAGTTTCTACCTTGTCAAAATAAAAGTGAGCCGAGTATGGTGCCTTAATTTAGCAATTATTTAAATGTCCATCAATTTAAGGAAATGTAATGTATTTTATTGTTAGTGTTTTTAAAATATTGACATTTATTATTTACCCCCTAATTTTGGTCATGATCATGTAGGATTTAGTCTATTTTTTTATTTTGTTTTTGGGTGTAATTGTATTAATTACTTAATTGAGCTCTGTATTTAGCTGAGGATATTTGTTACTTGTTTTTTGGTAATGTCTTATTTGTTTGTCAGACCATTAGTTCATGCTTCAAATTATTTTTAAATGTATTTTCATGGTTTCATTAATGTATTAATGATGGAACCTTAATACTGTAGTGTAATTAACCCCTGCAAATCCATCTGCAGGAAGCGGTATTATTGCGTAGCTTAGCACGCCCCCTTGAGGCGCTTACTCGGTACTTCCAACGAGACCCCGCTCCAATCTCTCGTCTTCAACCAAAAAGTGGTGGCGCCCCTTGGCCACGTGACACGGTGGTATCCAATGACAGGGGGCGCTATGTCCAACTGGTTCAAACTGGTTTGGTTCTTATATTTCATGGTATAAACTAGAAAAACATTGCTTAGCGATATACATGCGCCATTTTAAGCAGCTCCCCTGTCTGCACAGAGTACTGTGACTCCCGTGTGAGAAGGAAAAAAGACCGTTTTGCCCGTCATTTTTTTTCACATTTTATCTGCGACGACATGGCAAAAGCGAAGGTAAGAT